TATTTAATGTGGTGTATGGTAAAGTGTGTTTTTGTTTATTCAAGGGTTAATTGAAGTTTGCCATTTACAGATATGTTAAAGGTGCTAAAGTTAAAGGGTACTTTTCTTATTGAACTTTATAGAGTGCAACTTTAAAGTGTGTTTTTTGAAAGTAATAAGTGAAGGCTAATTGCCATTTGATATCGAAGTGTTCCAAAGGTTTTATTTATTGCATCTACTTTAAAGGTACATTTTCAAATTTTTAAGTGCAATTTGGAGTACTGTTATTGAAGATATTTTGCTTTGTTTAAACCTTTAAGTATTTACATTTAAGAGACATTTACATTTACTAGTGTTAAAGATTGGCATAGAGGTTTAATTTAGTATTTACGTTTGCCGTTTTCAAAAACTGGTCAGTTTAAAGCAGCGAAAATGTCAAAACCAAATAAGCCTACAATTCAGACAAGTGATGGTGTTAGGGATAGTGCAGATTCCCAAGACCAACCTGAAGAAGGCCAGCAAGAGAAAGCGCAGCAACCCAGACGGAGTCAAAGAACTAAAACTCTATCAGAGAAGGGTAAAGAAATGCAAGTTGAAAAAATTAAAGCACTTCAACAAAAGTTTGACTACATTTACAACAAATGGAGAACGCAAGTCAAATCTTCTAAGCAGCCACTATCACAATCATCAGAGCATTTATCTGAGGATCTCCTTAATGATATTATTGGTGATGTCACAGGTCTTTCTGCAGATGTCCAGTGCATTTATGATGAACTACGTAAAGTCTCAACTCCAGACCAGGATACCCGTCGAAGAGTGGATCTGTGTGTAGAGATTTCGAAGTTCATGGTACACAGAGCCTCAAGTCGACTGGATGGAAACATTTCAGAAAAGGATGAGGAAGATTGGCCAGAAGCAGGTTCTCTTTTCAACTCAAGCACCGGTAAATCAGGTTCTGTCATTTCTATCTTGAAAGGAACCTCAGAGCGTTCAAGCAGGTCTTCCGTGAAACGACAAGAAGCTGCTGCTGATGCTGCCGCAAGCCAAGCTGTTCTGAAAGTCCTGCAAGAACAAGAAAGAGAACAATTGGAGATACAGTGCCTAGAAGCAGAAGCTAAAAGGAAGATAGCTTATCAAGAGGCGGCAGCAATAAAGCGCCGTTTAGAACAAGAAGCAGAAGAAGTAAAACGAAGAATACAAAAAGAGGAAGAAGAAGCTGAAATCAAGGCTCAAATGGCACAAGAGCATGCAGCTCTACAAAAGACTCTGGAGGAAAAACGCAGAAAAATACAGCATTTGGAGGCAGTAAAAGGTCTTAATGCAGCACGAGCGAGAATGCAGGTATATGATCAGACCATAGGAGAAGAGCAAAAAGATGTGCTAAAACATGAGATGGTAGCAGATAACCAAGTCACTGCTCCTACAAGTTCTCTGGCCCTGTCTCCCACTCCACAAGCTGTGATAAACACCTCAAATGAAAGTACAGCAGAGCTTGTTAAGGTGCTGGCAGGTGCTTTAAATGGCAATAGAATTCCTGTTCCTGAACCTTCAGTATTTAGTGGGGATCCACTGCAATACAACGACTGGAAAATCTCTTTTGAAACACTGATTGGCCAGAAAAACATTCAAGACAAGGAAAAGATATACTACCTCCGTAGGTATGTAAGTGGACAAGCAAAGAAAGCCCTTGATGGCTATTTCCTGCTCGGAACAGAATCTGCTTATATTGCTGCATGGGATATTCTGGAGGAGAGATACGGAAACCCATTCACCATTGCAAAATCGTACAGAGACAAGCTCCAAGCATGGCCTAAGATGGGGTCTAAAGACAGTTTTGAGCTCAGGGAGTTTGTTGATTTTCTTCGTAGTTGCGAGGCTGCCATGGTCCACATCAAAGCGTTAGAGATCTTGAATGACTGTAATGAAAACAGGAAAATTCTGTCAAAGTTACCAGATTGGCTAACAGCAAGATGGAACCGGAAGGTTATTGACATACAAGAAGAGAGTAACCAGTTCCCCTCTTTCAGCCAATTTGTCAAGTTTCTGACAAGAGAAGCAAAAATTGCTTGCAACCCAGTCACATCGTTGCAGTCACTGAAGCAAGGTGAGCCTGATAAATCTAAAGGGTACAGAAATCAAAGCTTTGGAATAAAGACACTGACTACAAGTTCAAATGAAAAGACTGTCATAACATGCATCTTCTGTAAGAAGATTGGACACACTTTGCACAAATGCAGGAAGTTCATGGAGAAGGCAGTTTCAGACCGAATCAGATTTGTTCAAATTGAAAGACTATGTTTTGGTTGTCTCAAATCCGGTCACCACTCAAAGAGCTGCAACAGTAGAAGTGTTTGCGACATATGTAACAAGCGGCATCCTACCTGTCTCCATGAGGAGCGAACCAAAGGAGAACAAAGACCACCACAAGCAAAGCAAAGTTCAAATCAAGAAAGGCACGAAGAAAGACCTCAATCAACACAACACAAAGAAACAACTATGACTGCTACTTCAAACAGAGTAATACTTGATGAAGCAAACACTCAGACAGCTGCGATCATTCCTGTTTGGCTTTCATCCAGAACTCAACCAGAACAAGAAGTTCTTGTATATGCTCTGTTGGATTCTCAAAGCGACACAACATTCATTCTAAGTGATGTAGCTGAAGTTTTGGAGGCAAAGAAAGAACAAGTCAAGCTCAAGCTCTCTACTATGACTACACGAACTACAGTAGTAAGCTCCCAAAGAGTAAACAACCTACAAGTCAGAGGGTTTTACACTGATAAGAAGATCTCCTTACCACCAGTCTACACACGCAAGTTTATTCCAGCCAATAGAAGTCACATACCAACAGGTGAAACTGCAAAAGCTTGGTCCCATCTAGAGCACCTCCAAGAAGAGATTGCACCTCTGCAAGATTGTGAAGTGGGTCTGCTCATTGGGTACAACTGCTCACAAGCCCTACTTCCAAGGGAAGTTGTGTCTGGCCAAGAAAATCAGCCTTATGCACAGCGTACAGACCTTGGATGGAGTATTGTTGGCTATGGAAATCCCTGTCTAGATTATGGTGATGCCTTTGGAATCAGTCATCGCATAGTAGTGAGACAAGTGACACCAGGAGTTGAGCCTTCTGTCAATTTCAAGACTGTACACTATGTGAGCCGAACCAAAGTTAAGGAAATCACTCCCTCAGACATCATAAGAGTTCTCGAGTCAGACTTCTCAGAAAAAGCTGGAGAAGATGATCCTACTTGAAATCCTTAAGAGGATTTCAAGTTTTTATCGACATTGAGAGAAAACATCACACAAAAGGACAATGGTCATTATGAAATGCCATTACCATTCAAAGAGGGAAGACAAAACCTACCTGACAACAAGACATGTGCAATACATCGCCTGAACTGTCTTGAAAGGAGACTAAAAAAAGATCAAAACTACTACAAAGACTACGTAAACTTTATGGATGACATCATTTCACGTGGTGATGCAGAGAAAGTTCCTGAGGAAGAAATTGACAATAATCCGGCATGGTACATTCCACATCATGGAGTCTATCATCCACGAAAACCAGGAAAAATACATGTAGTATTTGACTTTTCTGCCAAGTTTCAAGAAACATCCCTCAACGACCATCTACTCACCGGTCCTGATTTGACTACATTTGATTTGAATACATTGGTGGGAGTGCTTTGCCGCTTCCGAAAGGGTTCCTTTGCAGTCATGTGCGACGTTGAAAGAATGTTCCACCAATTTCATGTGAAAAGGGAGGATCAAGATTACTTAAGATTCCTATGGTGGGAGAATGGCAACTTGGAAACC